CAAGACTTCCACATTATTTACTATAACATTCTGGTCTCCATCGAATCACCTCTCGTAGCCTCTCCTAGTACTTACCAGTTTGTAGTACTCCTAGTATTACCTCAGGGACAAGGTCCTCCCAAGGAGCTGCTGGCTCCTGGCCTGCCCCACACCCTCATTCCACTGAAACTGCTCTTTTTAAGGTGACCAATAACCTCCTGCTTGTACAAACCCACAAAGATTTCTTAGTTCTCTTCTGAGAAAAGTTCCTTATGTGGAAAATGGAAAGAATGGTAATTATTTGATAGAGCATCTGTGACAATTACGTGAACCCATGTACACACCACATTGGACATAGTGCCTTGCTCCTGTGCAGTGCTGTCACTGGCTCTCTCTGGACCTGGCCATGTTCTCCTCGGTGTCCCCTCTCCTGGTTCCCCCAGCTCTCTCTCCAAGGTGTCCTCTCACTTGTGCAAATGGGCACAGGTTTCAGTTTTCTCACTCACCAGACAGCTGACCTTCAGCAAATCACTTAACCTTGCTGACTGCATTGTCTCCCTTTTATTAAACGAGCTATTATAAGAATAGGGGGCTCTGGTAGTGCAGTGCCTAAGGCATTTGCCAGTGAATCAGAAAGTTGTCAGTTCAAACCCACCAGTCACTCTGCAGAAGGAAGATGGAGAAATCTACTTCCATAAAGATTTACAGCCTCAGAAGCCCAATGGGGGTTGCTATGAGCTGGAACTGACTCAATAGCAGTGGGTTTGGTTTTTTTTTTTTTTTTTTTTTTTTTCCCTTGGTATCACAGGAATAATGTCTGCATCTCAGCAGGCACTGAGTAATTGTCAATTCCTTCCCTCCCTCCCTTCCTCTCCTCCTCTACACTGTGGATCTCTGCTCCTCTCACTTCATGCTTGACATGCTTCACAGAGATCTCCCCCATTCTCATGGATTTCATATGACTTGACTAATGTTCAGTATCACTAGCCAGAATTCTCTATGCTCCAGATGGGAACAAACTGTGCTGGACCATGTTCATTTCATTTCCATCAGTGCTGACCAGCAGAACTTTCTGCGGAGATGGAAATGTCCTGTAGCTGTGCTGGCCAGTATGGTTTAAGGTACCAGACACCAGTGGCTACTGAGCACTTCAAGTGTGGCTAGTGCAGTTGGGGAAGACAATTTTGTATCTGACTGACTGAAACATCGGCAGCCCCACGTGGCCAGGGGTGTTGTCCTGCACAGTGGAGATTCAGCTGCTGCACAGGGATCTCACACCCCGAGGCCCCCCTGCTACACCGCCTGCTTTCCCTTCCCAACTTTCGGACAGGCTCCTTTCACCCGGTATCTAATGGCCACCTCAAAACTGAAATGCCCTCCCAACCTTTCACATCACCCGATAGTTTCTATCTCAGAGGGAGCAGCTCCTACACCAAGCTCCCAAGCCAGGATCAATTTTACTTCTTCCAATAAATCACTAAGTCACACTACCTCGGATTGTCTATTTGTCCCAAATTGCTGCTTCATGCTGTTGAGTATACTCACGTATGACAATGCCTGGTGGTAACTCACCAGAAGCACAGCTTAAAGTGACTGCATTATTTCCTACAACTTTTGCCAAATTCAAGGACATGAGGCTGGTTTTGCGTTTGCACACCTCCAAACAGGAAAATCAGGCATTTTAAGGTCTTATAACAGATTTAAACAGGGATGTTTGTCAGTAACTTAATGTATGGAGTAAATTCCCTGAACATCCCATGACTGAAGAGAATGGCGATGAAGCCAACATTTGCTAAGCGCTAGTATGTAAATATTATCCACAGTTTGGAACCTGTTCCACGTGGCATGTGAGAAATGAAAACTTCCTCCCACGCCTTCAGAACCAGTTCCCTGGGGGGGCTGGCACTGGCTGACTCCAGCTGCAGGGAGTGATTCACTCCCTTCCTTTAAACCTCAAGGTTTATGGGTCTGTCTCCTTGACTGATATCTGTGCTGTCCAGGAGATGGGGCCGTTTCTCACATATTTCTGTACTGTCTGAGCCTTAGTATGCTGCCTGGCACGGAGAAGATGCATAGTCAAATCTGGCAGATTCAGCAGGTCATGTAACACACATCCATACCATACCTGACTTTTTTGTATGTTGCTCCTGGACAAATTTTTTCTGTTCCTTTTGGAAATCTCCAATAATTGTCTGTTGAAACAAACAACAACAACAAAAAACTACATCAAGAATCAAATTACTTTGAAAAGCTTACTGTTAGATAAGAAATTAAAGATTTTACAAGTCTATTTGAGACATTTTACTCATTTTCACTGAAATCAGAAGGCCAAAAAAGTGAGACGTCTCCATTTCCCCAGCAAGAGAAGTCTTTGATAGTTTTGAATTTTAAGTGTATGAAGGATTATCCTTTCAAATGCAAAAATAAAATGACTTAAGATTTAATCATGTATTATTCATAAAATAATAAAGGAGAGCTCAAAACTCACACTTACAAATAGCAGAAACAAAAATACCTAAATAATACTGTATCTAAGGTTTAACTGACAGCCTCCTAAGGCATCTGACTGCTAACCAGAAGCACTCCTTTGGAACAAAAGTTGGGCAATCTACTTCTGTAGTGATACCACTTTGGAAACCCAAGGAGGGGTCGCTATGAGTCGGATCTGAAGCGACAGCAGTGAGTTTGGTTTTGGTTTTGGTTTAGTCCAAGTAATTATGACTGTAAATGACATTCCCTTGGCCCACTCCCCACCACTGCAACAAATGAACTCACTCCTTAGTTTCAATAGGGTTTTTCTTAACAGGCGAGGGCTTGAAAATTTTAACCCTAATGCAAAGGCATAAGCATATTCTAAAATAGTTATCTTTTAAAATTAAACACACAATAGATAAAGTTTAATGTAATTCAGGAGTGTCAATGTATTTTAGAACACACTCAAAGAACAACCAAAGTTACTGAAATCAGGTTAATTTATATCATTGACACATGTTACACAAAAAGAGGAAAAACACAAGAATCTTGGGAATACTCTTTTGAATTCTCACGAAGTGCCGCTCAATCTAGGCTGTTCTATTTTTCAATAAAACTCTTCACTTTAATTAAAACAAACCTACCAACCAACCCAAGAATCTCAACAATTAACATTTTCATCAGAATAATATGATGTTCTATTTGGGCTAATAATAACATTCATAAGAAGGGATAATTGTACCAACACCTAATGAATTTCATCAATTTTTACTTGAAAAGGTATTGAAATGTACCTTATCAATGATGTCATCAATTTTTCCTTCTTCTACTGATTTCTTTATTGTCTGTGCAGTTTTGGCCACTGATTCAGTTATCTTTTTAGTAGCTACAGTCGCAAAGTTAAACAGATAGTCTACAAAGAAGAAAGAAAAATGTCTATGTTTCTGTTCAAGTATAATAGTGCATTTGGGATTTTTCCCTTCTTCAAGTATAATAGTTAGTGCATTTGGGAATTTTCCCTCCTGATGATAAGAATCTAAAGCTGTAGGGTAAGTTCCTGGTGAATCAGAGCTTGACACAAGGAAGGAGGTCCACAGACAGCATCCCACTTTGCTGGTAGCCTGGCTGCCCACACCAGGCCTTTAATGCATCTCTCTCAGACACTTAGCAGACTCTCCCCAGCAACTGTTTCAAGCTTGTCTTGCACTTCTCAAGTCTCCAGTTCTGAGCTCAGTACATAATTTCCCCTCTTGTTGCACAAATCAGATGAAGGCTCCTTTACATATTCCTTCCTTTTAGCCCCCATGTAGTCAGTCCATCTTTATCCTCTTCCTTCCCTCCTGTTCACAGAAAATATTGCCCCTCTTTTCCAAGATTAACCCATCCCAAGATAAGCTGGGAATTTCCCCCCCCCCTTTTTTTTT